TATTAGGAATATAAATTGATATTTTTTTCCTAAAATCTTACTTTATTGCATTGAATTCAAGTGTATTATGAAAAAATGAGATATAAAATACATCGTATCTTTGTTATAAATTATACTTGTATTGTATGATTACACAATATACATAGGTTTTCTTTATTTTCCTCAAGTATTTGTAATAATAAAATAAAATACAAGCTAGATGCCTTGTTATTAGTCTACTTTTTTCTGTTGCAGTAAAGCATTAAAGGAGGTCAAACAGTCTTTATTGCGAACTGAATGGATTGTCAATGGATTTAGACATGGGTGTAGAACAACAGTCTCCAAAATAATAATAAAAATGAAGAAAGCTAAATCGGGTTTAATTCTTTCTGTATATCACTGTGTGCAAATTCTTTTAGGCGTTCTCCTATAGAGATACTTCAATATTCTCTCTTTCTCTGCACGCACGAATAAAAAAATGTTACAATGTTTGGATTATAATAAAAGAAACAATATTTTTTTTGACAAATAAATAATAAAATTTGAACAACGAATACTTATAGACCTGTTAAAAGTATTTGTTTTTGTACGTAAATATGTGTTTTTATTGAAAATGGGAACGATTCTTCATCCCCCATGAGTTTTCTCGTACGACCTCTTTGAGACGTTCGTTACTGCTGCGAACATCACTGAAACCTTCGATCAACTAAGAAGATTTTACTACAAAATTAAGTAATCAAATTTAACAGAAATGATATTTTTGGGAATTTAAATATATAGATTGCTTAACGATTTTTGCTCCCCTATGAGCCTTCTCATGCCTCCACTTTGAATATCCTTAATTATTTATCGTAATAATTAGATAAGATGTCATACGTAAATTATAAAATTGTATATTTTAGATGATTATTATTATTATTATTATTAGATTATGTTTGTAGCCAATCACCCAATTATTACACAAACAGATAGGCTATAGTTTACCTATCTATTTATATTTAGAAATTTATGAAGTTTGTTTAAAATAGAACGTGACAACATGCTTTAACAACAACGTTTTAATATAGAATAAAGAGAGAAAAATTTGAAAACTGAATTTCATATTTTAGTATTCTCAATATTTTATTTTGAAAATTTGTTTTTGTTTATGACCCAACAATTATCAAGGTGGCTCTACAAATTAATGATAAAAAGAACAAGCACTAACAACAGGGAAAGAATATCAACTCATTATTAGAACTGAACACTCCTGGATGTTCTAATGGCAATCAGTTGACAGTTGTAGAGAAGAGGAGGGTATTATGGAATACCATTTACATTTCTAAAAATAACTTTACTGGTTTTTGAAAATCCCAAAATCATCATGAGTACATACTATAACTAATAGTAATGAACTGTCACTTGTAAAAATAAATACTATTTATTTTGTTGTTATAAAAAAAATTATTTAAAAAAAGTCATAAATGGAGGGTAATATGGAATAGGTGGTTTAAACCATTGAAAAACTAATTAGACTTCATAAAACATAGTTATTTTTAACTATAAAAAAAATTATTTAAAAAAAGTCACAAATGGAAGGTAATATGGAATAGGTGGTTTAAACCATTGAAAAACTAATTAGACTTCATAAAACATAGTTATTTTTAACTATAAAAAAAATTATTTAAAAAAAGTCATAAATGGAGGGTAATATGGAATAGGTGGTTTAAACCATTGAAAAACTAATTAGACTTCATAAAAAATGTTTTTATAGTTAAAAATAACTCATATTTTTAAGGTTACGTGCACGCCATTCCTGCTTTGAGTCTATTTACAAAAGTCACAGATATAATTATCTTTCTCTGCTCCGGTACAATCAAGGTGAGCCCACAGAGAACAGCTGAAGCATTGAATCCAAATTTTCCCTCGATCATCTTTGGAGAATTTTCCGTTACAGAAGATACATTCAGTGTCTTTGTTTTCTGGTTCTTTAGTTGATGGCATGAAGTCCATTACAGATGATACATCAGAATGGAACAATTCATCACTGCAAACACTGGAGTCATCTCTAGTAGGTTTAGGTCTAGAAGGTCGGTCTAAGTTTAATTTCTTAACAGGTGGTCTTTGAATGTTCGGTTTTTTTTTTGTTGTTTTGAAGCTTCTGGTTCTTTCTTTTTGTCCTTTTCTCTCAGTTTATCCATTTATCCTAGTATTCCATAATACCCAACACATCATCTTGGAAAATGAACCTTTAAACTGATGGACAAAATATTGTCAGCTAAAAAACGACTACAGTATAACAAATTACAATTCTTTTAGTGTACATTATGCTTAACATCAATGTTTGAGTCACATGTGTACTAGTAGGTTAAAATGTTTGAAAACTTGCCTGCAAAAATTCTTGAAAATCACAAAACACACTTTGTTCTGTAGCGAGTGGTATGATGACAACAAGCGGTTAACTCTCAATGCATTGTGGGAGTCTTTTTTGAGTAGTTCATGGTATTCCCACGTAATAGCAGCAACAAACAGAACTGAAACCTTGGTATTCCATATTACCCGACTATTCCATAATACCCTCCTCTCCTCTATAATTCAGTTTATGAAGGGAGAAAATAAACATATTTTATTAAACTAACTTGTAAGAAGAAATTTTGATTAAAGAACACTGATAATGAAACTAAAAAAATTTAAATTTAATCATACATAAAATTTAATGATATTGGTAAGATGGCTTGATGTCTTACTTGTTAGTGAGTAAAAATACAGTTTGAGGAAACAAATCAAGTTGAGTCCAAGGCCAGCTGACTTGGAAATTATTGAGTAGATTGATTCAGATATGTCATGCTCCATCTGGCTGTTCTGGGCCTGGCAAACCCATGATAGATTTAAGAAAAGATCTTTTAGTGTTGGAAGAAAATTTAAAATGTAAAAACAACAAGAACAACAAATTAAATGATTGCCAGATTGCTGACACAGTAAAGATATGGATCTGTTATTCTGTTGTTCCGTGGTGCCCACAGATTATAGAAAAGGGGTTATAAAAAAGGGAATTATACATTATGCAAGAAGCTTCAAACTAAGGAAGGTCAATAAAGTAGATTGTAAATATTAGAAGTTTAAAGAAAAAGACTGCATCTTAAAGGATTTTCATTGTTGATTGAGTTTCAAACTATGATTCAACGTCAAATCAACATCCCACATGGTGACACTGGTTGCAATTGGAGCTAACTTGGCCTTGAAAAGAAGGAACATTTCTTGTTTTCAAGGCCAAGTGTTGGTGAGCATATGATGAAGTTGCATGAGACAAGGACAAATATCATTCATTAACTTTTTTTATTTGCAGAATAAGCTAGAAATCATGGATTTTCTGTTTGTTAATAATGGAATTTGCAACTCAGATGGAAAAGGGCACATAACCCGATGTACAGATGTCCCTGCTGTTGCTCTATGGATTTGGATTCCAGTCTGGGTCAAGAACCTACAAGAATTTTTTATGAGTGGTTTATTCCATTTATCTTAGGCTCCATTCCACATCATCTTCTGTCTCACTATAGGCCTAGCTGAACTCGTTATGAGAATAATAATTAAAAAGGCTTCTTAGCTTCACAGGGAGGGAAGAGTGGAGGAAAATGTTAGTAATATTGGTATCTTAGAAACAAAAAGGCATATGCCATAAAAACTAAATTTTTCAGGATAAGCAAAAACTGATTTTAATTTGTTTTTGGTGTATCCATAGTTCAAAAAGTTTGAGCTTCTATATGTCTTAGCCCAGTATTATCCTATATGATGTAGTGTCACCAATGTTTAAATTATATGACTGTGGACTAACCCTTTAGCATCTTTTTAAAGATTAAATGAATGGACAAGTGCCTACATGGAATTTCCCACAATTTATTCACTTTTAATACAATTTATATTTATATATAAATGACAAATTTAATAAAATATTTTTTTTAAGTGTGATGTCTTTTAAATGAATGGAATTAATTAAAAACATATCTGTGTTTTTTCATCTTATGGAGAATCAATAGTCTCAAATAATGTAATTCATTGTCTGCCCTATGCTACAATTTTTAAAATCTTATGACGTACTTAAACTTAGTGATCATGTAAGTTGCACATTGTGTAATGGAAACTCAGTTGCACACAAGAGTATATATAAGAATTGCTAAACATGAGAGTAATAAGTTGTAGTGTTTGTTCACTAAGTATTTGTATTTTATCATTAGTTATATATAAATATATATTTTTCGTTCTTGTCGCAAGTTATTAATTGTAAAATTTCCGTTAGGTTCGTACCACCTCTTGTGATGTGGTGGTGCGAGCCCGTGATTGGCCCCTGCCATGACGTAGGTTCCCTCGTCAGGTACGTGGCGCGGAGGTATAAAATAAAATGTGCCACGTGCAGAAAACCCCCCGTTCTTCCTGGTTCTGTGGTGCAGGAGTGTTCGTGTCGAGTTGGTAAAGAAGGAGAAGGAACAAAGGAAGTTGGAGAACAAGGGAAGAGTGTGCCACGTGGAAGAGAACTTTATGTGCGAAAACGTAGAGACTTTTCATCGAGCATCAAGATCAGCCTTTTCGTAAGGATAGTCAACTTATTGTTCTTTTCTTTATATTTTTAAAACCTAATTGTCGTGTCGGGAATATTTGTGATTTTTTTTTTAAGTCCTATTGTCGCGTCGGGGATTATCTATCGAATTATTCATTAATACTCTTGTATCCGGACAAGAGGGGTGACAAGAATCCCAATGCTAACCGAAATTCGTGATTGAACCTCAGACATGTATTCTAGAGAAATTAAAATTGTTCAGTGTCCCGTTGATTCGTGTTGTCCTTTCTGTTCTCAAGCTCACACTAACGTACTTCGGTACGCTAGGGATCTACATATGGCGTCCGCGACAGGATCATTTTTGTAAGGACACGCTCTGTTACTGAGGTTCATAGCACGCGTGTACAGTTCGTGATAGTTATTTGCCAGTGAAGTTTTTTTTTTTGTTTTGTTAGTGTAATTGTGTAATTATAATTAGTATTTAATTGTAATGGAAGAACAAGTCTCGAGCGAATCTAATATGGCCGCCACGACAGAGTCCGGGAGCGTACCCATTATCACCGGCTTTATGGGGATGATCCCCTATTTCGCCAATGCATCTACGGACACCCTTGAGATTCATAGATTTTTTATGACTTTAGAGAATGTGGCCGAACTGGCGAAATGGGAGGAATCTGTAAAAATCTCTGTACTACAAGCTCGCTTAAAGGGTGAGCCATTGTCAATCTTTTTTGACTTGAAGGAACAGGGAGTGAATGACTATTCCCGCTTTAAGGGAGCCCTCATAAAATGTTTCAATCGAAAAGAAAGGGCTCAGAATTACCTTAGCCTATTAGTAAACGTAGCTCAAAAGCGGGAAGAATTGGTATGTAATTATGCTATCCGTGTGAATTCCCTGTTTTCGAAGGCTGCAATCCGCAACGCTAAATTGGGTTCACTTCAAGATGAATTGGTTAAGGATAGTTTTATAAAAGGGCTAGTGCCCGAACTAAGGAAATCTGTTATGCAGAGGCACCCACAAACCTTAGAGGAAGCAATTGAGTTAGCCGAGGCTGAGGAAGAGGTAGAGCTCGTTTGTAGAAAGCGAAGCCTTGTCAGTGAAGTGAGTGTAACAGTAAACCAGGAACCCAGCCAGGTCGAACAGAAATCTAAAATAGACAAATTGGAACTGAAGGTAGACCAACTAAGTGAGTCATTCAAGTCGATGTACGAGCTAGTTAAGGAGAACCAGAGTCAGAGAATTGACCGGGTGGAGAGGAGAAGATGTTTCACTTGCGGAAATGTAGGTCACCTGGCAAAATTTTGCACAAGGCAAAGACCTTTAAACTAAAAAACGGCTGCTTGGAAGGTCAGGCAAGGGGCCGTAGCGTGATTATGACTCTGACCAACGATGTGAGCCTCACGGAACGGGGACTCCCCGTTGTGACAATAAGCATATTAGGACGGGAAGTGAAAGGGCTTCTTGACAGTGGTGCCGAAAGGTCTGTTGCAAGCGAGGAGTTGGTGGATTGGGTAAAGGCTAAGAATGAGTATTCCGTAATTGAGAGGGAAGCGCTCATAAGCGGTATATCAGGGACAGTCATCTGTAGTAAGGAGTCAATGTTAATTTCAATAAATGATGATATGCAAGAATTAGAAATTCCCAGAATGGAATTTCCTGCGAGAACAACCCATGAGTTAATTATAGGGATGGACATTATTGCCAGATACCCAACCTTGTTGACAAAAATACAAGTTGGAATAGGTGCTAGACAATTTGATACTAATCACAACTTTAAAATAAGCATAACAAGGGAGACTGATGATGGTGAACATATATGGGACTTAGACCATCTCGAGGAGAGTGTTAAGGAAAACGTTTTAAGTGTGCTGAAGAAATACCCCACTGTTGTTGCTAGGTCTATAAGGGATGTCTCGGGCTCACGTAATTACGTTCACAGCGTAGAACTAAACTCTGACCAACCTATTAATACCAGACAATATCGTATTCCATATAGTTATTTGCCGGCGCTTAAGCGTAAGGTTGGTGAACTTATTGAAGCTGGGATTTGTGAGGAAAGCGTGTCACCCTGGAACTCCCCTATCCATGTGGTACCTAAGGACTCTGGTGAGATCCGGCTAACCTTGGACTTACGCAAAGTCAACGAAATAACGGAGCCACAAATTTTCCCCATGGCAAGAATTGACGATATTTTGGCTCAACTTGAAGGAAATCGCTACTTCTCTGTCCTTGATTTAAAGTCTGGCTATTTCCAAGTCCCTCTTGATCCAAGAGTCAGACATATTTTTGCTTTTTCGACGCCATGGGGGAAATATCAGTTGTGCAGAATGCCTCAAGGAGGTAGGAACAGTGGTCGTTTTTTTCAGTATATGATGACTAAGGTGCTCGCGAGATTTATTGGGTGTAGTTGCCACGTGTTCCAGGATGACATTGTGTTGTTTTCAAGGAATCTCGATGATCATTTGAAATTACTGGAGGAAGTAATAATCACACTAAGGGATGAAGGTTTACGTTTGAATCCAAAAAAATGCCAGCTCCTAGCTAAGAAGGTTAGATACTTAGGTCATGTTATTGACGCGGAAGGAATTAGGCCCGACCCTGAAAATGTGAGTGCTATAAAAAAGATTAGACCACCTACTAACATCAAGGAAGTACGTAGTTATCTGGGAATGGTAGGATTCTTCCGCACCTTTATCCCGTCGTTTTCCGAAATAGCGTCCCCTCTCACTGAATTAACCAAGAAGGGAAGGAGATTTTGTTGGGATGCACATTGTCAAGAGAGTTGGGATACTTTAAGACATGCCATAGCAAATCCCCCCGTATTGGCCCACCCCGACTTCAATAAGGATTTCTTCCTCCACACTGATGCTTCAGACCAAGCTGCAGCAGCTGTTTTAGAACAAATGATCAATGATAGCCTCGTTCCAATTGGTTTCTACAGTAGGAAATTCAAGGGGGCTGAGTGCAATTACTCAACAATAGAGAAGGAATGCCTAGCGATTTTGTTATCTTTAAGACACTTTAAGCATCTCATTTTGGGGAGAAGAACCATAATCCTGTCTGACCATAAACCCTTGAGTTTTTTGAGAACTATCAATAACGGCAGTCGGCGTCTTACAAGGTGGGTTATGGAACTGGCTGATTATGATATCGAGGTCAGCCACGTAAGGGGAGCTGATAACAAGGTCGCAGACTTCCTTTCACGTAGCATCAAGGAGGTGAACCAATTTGAAATTGATTATAGTACCACAAGGATCCCCATGGAAATAGAAATAACTGAATCACAAGATAGGGATAGCTTGTTCGGGCCCATCAAAAGAGACATTTCTCGTGGGAGTAGTTCAGGAAATAATTTTCAAGGTTATACCTTAGTAAACAACTGTTTATATAAAAACTTCTATTGGAAAGCTAGGAAT